CCTGGTCCAGATTTTACGATGTAGTGTTTGGAAAATACGCCCAGAAGGCGCTCAAAAGATACAACATCAAGACTAGTTGTCGCCATGAAGCTGCGATCGCATTTACTCTTGTACATTGCGTGCCATGGTATCTCACTCGGTGTGACGAGTGCAGTCGATAGAATCTAGAGTAGTGTGTTTGAGAACAATGTGCATTTGTGCCTTGAGACCTTATTGCGAGTCCGTATTTGCATACGCAGGCGTAACATGAGAGCCAGGAGAAGCTGGTTGCGGTGTATCGTACGCTGGCGATGCCTTTGGTGAGCCCTGAGAAACCCCAGAGGCGAGGATCTCATCACCACTACAGCAAGCAGGACCAAATGTCGTGTGCAAGAGGTCAAACCCACTTTGAACCAGTCGATTTGTGTTCCTGGTTTTTGGTTGGCACATCTGTGACAAGTTGACACAAGTACAACATATGCTGGGACACAACGACAGCACATATTAAACATAAATATGCGATTTATGTGATTTTTGGGGGTCCCCCATTGCCTCAATGTCGAATGCGTCACATTAAAGGCAGACCTCCAAAACCGACCGCAGGTTTTTGTGGCGCAAAGCCCTACATGTGCGATGCCGTTCAATGATAGACCAGCGTAAGAGCCTTTGGGGTGCCTAAAACTTTTGTCAGCAGCCCTTGTGTGTGTATGGGGGGGGCTGCACGATCAGGACAACATCAACCGGTTAAATCCGTATAACAAATTTTAACCGGATTCCGGATAGCTGTCCTACCATGTCCTACCATGCCATGAAGAGTACAGTATGTACAGTACGTAGTGATCGTATTTGTCCATTTTGAAACCTCGAAACCGGTAATGAAACTGACAACCACCATTTCATGGCGCAAGTCAAAGTCGCCTGTCACGGAACAGTCACGATGGTGTGTACAGGTAGCAGTGACATATCTGCATCTACATTAGCTAGACAAGCGGCGACAGAACGCGTGTTTCGCAACATCACTGGCGCCGTCGTGGTTACAGCGGTATACAACATGACTATCGGCATTGTGGGCTCAACCATCAAGACGGGTCGACTCACAACAACGGAGCAGGCTTTGTTCTTTGCGATGCCATACACGGTGCTCGTGTCGTGCGTGGTGCTCTGTCGACATGTGTTTTCGTCCTTTGTTGCTTTTGACATGGTCGAAGAAAAGTCAGAGTCAGTGGGCACTCGGGAAGCGACTCGGAATACGTGGACCACCGCGGGCGTGATCAACGCGCTCATGTTTACGATCATCCAATCGGTGCTGTTCCAGTGCCCCACCGACGACAAGTCGACGCTCATTTCTGTGTGGTACCTCGGCAAGATTTGGTTTGCGTCGGGGTGGTCGATAATTGGCATTTGCGAGTCGTCGCTCTACCTTATGTATACGGACCCCCTGAGTGACGCCGACTTGGCCCAGTTCATTCAGGACAATCCGAAATCGATTGGGTTGCCCACCGTGGACCTCGCAATGTCGCTATTGTTGACCGTGTCCGCCGTGAGCTTGTGGTTTTACGGCCAGCTTGGATGGTTCCTCGGGGTTGTGCTCAACTTGCTGTGGCCCATGGCTATCTTTACAATTGTCAACCAATGGCGCAAGATATCGCTGTGGCACAAGCGCCCCCCCGCCACGAAAGAGTCAACGCCCACACAAAACGATACCTGAACCTAATTCAATGTGACATTTCAAACTTCCCGCCAAGGGCATGATCGACGACAGTACAGTACGCATTGGTACCGCGGTACATGCAAAATCGTCAGAGCTACAGTTTGAAAATGGAAATAGGTAGGAAAGAATTAAGGGCCACTCTGGCTGCCACAAAAAATGTCAGAAAACACTTCTTTTTGCTACTTTTCAGAAATATTATGACAATTTTTCAAACGACAACTTTTGTGTGATTGGCAACCAAATCTGACATATATAAAGTGACAAAATCCGTCGAATTTTTTCTGTTTTCTGATAGAATTTTTATTGAACTGCAACTCTCCATTTTTTACCAACATGATCTATCGATAGTTCTCATTCTGTGATGGCATCGAAAGGTCACATCAAAACATTTTGAAAATATTTTCTCACCTCCCATTTGAAAAGGGAACCCGTCAGAATTTTATTTAACATAAAAATTTCTGTGGCATCCAGACTCGGCCTAAAAATATTTATAGATATCAGAAAAATGTTACAGGCTGGTCTGGATGCCACCTCATAAATTTATGGCATAAACCGTTTTGGCAAGTCTGCATATAGTCCCATATCCCATGAAAAGGGGAGAAAAGAAGTATCTACAACGTCGTCTGGATGCCAGCTGAATATTGGAAAGATAAATCGATGTTCGATTGAATTGCAAGACTTCAACATGAACACAAACTTGCATAATAAAGTTAGACCAAATCGGTCCATATTTTTTATGCCATAAAACACCCGATTCTCAAGAAAATTGTGGCATAAATGTTTGAACTTTGGTGGCATCCAGACGCACCAAATCTCGAAAAGTGGAATATTTCGATTTTGCCAACTTTTCTCGGAAAAACGGCTAATTTATGCCATTTTTTGTGGCATCCAGACCCAGCCTAAGCCCAATTACTATAAAAAAGTCATCTATTTAATAGAAATCCAGAAGTACTAACAGTAAGTTAGTACTTCTCAATACGGTGCGCGTCACCTGACTGTGAAGCCTGTAATTCTGCAAAATGGTTCACTATCAATTCAAAATTTTAGAGGTTTTGATATACTACCGGTAGTAATTAATATATCGGTGGTTTTGGCACATACTAGTAGTAACGTTACCGGTATGCGAAAGTACATACTGCTACTAATACGTGCATGCAGGGCTGGGGAAAAATATATTTAAATACATTTTAGCTTGTCAACATATAGTTTCAATATATTGTCATTCAGATGAACAATTCATAATTTTATTGAAATTCGAACAACCGAAAAATTCAATATTGCTGACTCGGAACAATTATTGTCCATATTTTCGATAGTAAACGATGGTCAAGGCCTTGTCGCGTATCATATCGGTTTCACGCTCAGGCGGTGGCCCCTGGTTTGATTCCAGGGTACGCCAAGATTTCCTTACTCTCAGTACTACTATTAATAGTAATATATTGTTTTCAAAGCAAAAAATACTTCTTCGAAGTACTGAGGTTACTATTATAGTAATATACTCGAGTATTGTTTTCAAATCTTGTTCATTATGGCATCTGATTGGTGGAATATAATTGTAGCAGATGACTCCGTTTTCATTGGGTAGTTAACTGTAAATCAAGTCCGAATTCTTCGTGGTGCCTATCGCTTGACAAAGTCGTCACTTCAAATTCAAGGAATGAAATCCTTCCAGTGAGCTATCATTATCGTTAAGATGGCGTATACTCGAAGTCTATCTTCATATATGCTACTCAGTACCCCATACAAGTGCACGGACGTTGTACACAAGTTAGTCATCTTTTCGGATAATCTGAAGCGACCTGGACGTCGAGAGCCGCACCAAGCTGTTCCGCTGCGTTCGCCGAAGTGGGTCGTGTTGCCCTGAAAAGTGATAGGGCAAATCGCACCTATGGGTGACGTGTTGGTTTCATTTGGAGTGACTGGTTAGAAGTAAGTCTAATACAGTCAGTTGGCATTGTGAGACTAACCACCGTTGTGGTTGCTGTGCTGGTCGACGGAACGTCGACAGTGCGGGGTGCGGAACACAAGCCCTGACTCCTCCACAAGGAGTCTGTCAGATGGGAACTCTCGGCAATAGGAAGAAATGATACAGTAGTAGTATACTAAGCTTACGTAGTTACAGTACACGTTAGAGGTCATATAATAGACCTCTTGTTCACTTACAAATTTCTTGATCAGTGATTGCCAATAATACTGTACATCAATATATATATAGAATTAAAATAAGTAAATGTCATAGGATTGGCTAAAATCGAACTAACGTTGTAAATGACGAAGAGATTGAACAAATGATCAAAGACTGCGTCATTGAAGAATAAACCGATATAAAAACAATATGGCAACGCTATTCCACATTTACAACCTATATGACAATATCCTACACAACTGACAGTGAATATCTGCTGCGACTCTACACCAAATACCTACTCGGAGTAGCGCGTAGTGATAACTCACAATCACTTTTTTGAAGAAACCCATGGACTCCTTTGCTATCGTGTCGCGTCTCCAACAACAAGTCGGCGACGAAGTTCACGCATTAGACCTCTTGTTTGATGAGATGAGCCAAGTCTACCACGCTCACTCCTAACATGTCGAGGAGGCCGATGACTCCCCCACTGGTCTCAGTGAGATTCGAACCTGGTGAATAGCCATTGCAGAATGCACGTTTTGTGTCTTGAGGTACAGGTTTCTTTAGAACCGAACAAGAATGCAATTTCGCGGTGGTGTCATCACCAGGGAGAACGTTCGTCCCTATACTGTAGCTACATCAACTGATGCAAATACTAGGATGATCACTAACCACGTTCTGACTTAAAACTTCGTCACTGAACAAGAGGTCTAATTAGACCTCTTGTTCAGTGACGAAGTTTCAATGTCTACTGTACAAAGCGAAACATCCGGATACTTCCGTATAATTTACCGGACCTCTTCGTGCATGCACAAAGCGATGCATCCGGATACATCCGTATACTTTGCCATTCAAAATGACTGGCCAGTACCTGGAGGTGGCCATTTTATCCGCCAACCAAATCCATCTTGACACCACCAAGAAGCATGCCGAATACTGGGGAGACGAACCAACCCGAGCCGCATGAGCCCGCCAAAGATGCCGACGAGATCGTCGTAGAAGCCGACGAGCAGATTGAGGACAAGTCGTTCCTGGAGCTGGGTGTGAACCCCGCTCTATGCGAGTCGATTGCGGCCCTTGGGTGGACGCGTCCCAGTAAGATCCAACAAAAGAGTTTGCCGGCGGCGTTGGCGGGCAAGGACATCATTGGGCTGGCCGAAACCGGGTCTGGGAAGACTGGTGCGTTTGTGATTCCCATCTTGCAGGACCTGCTCTTGTCGCCCCAGCGCCTCTTCGCGCTCGTGTTGGCGCCGACGCGCGAACTGGCGTTTCAAATTTCAGAGCAGTTCGAAGCGCTGGGGTCGTCGATTGGGCTCAAGTGCGCCTGCGTCGTGGGTGGCATCGACATGATGAACCAGCAAGTCGCGCTGGCCAAGAAGCCCCACGTCGTGATCGCAACGCCAGGGCGACTGGTCGACCATTTGGAAAACACCAAGGGGTTCAGCCTGCGCACGATGAAGTACCTGGTGCTGGACGAAGCCGATCGCATGCTCAGCATGGACTTTGAGGAAGAGATCAATCAGATCATCCAGCTTATGCCCAACGAGCGCCGCACGTACCTCTTCAGCGCCACGATGACGTCCAAGGTGGCCAAGCTGCAGCGCGCGTCGCTGCAAAGCCCCGTCAAGGTCGAGATCACACACAAGTTTGCCACACCCGAAACCCTCGCCCAAAAGTACCTGTTCATTCCGGCAAAATACAAGGACTGCTACCTCGCGTACGTGCTCAACGAGTTCGCCGGCCAAAGCATGCTCATCTTTGCGTCCACGTGCAACGGCACCCAGCGGATCACGCTCATGCTGCGGTCCCTCGGGTTTCCCGCGATCTGTCTGCATGGTCAGATGACGCAGCCCAACCGCCTGGGCGCGTTAAACAAGTTCAAGGCCAAGCAGCGCTCCATCTTGGTATGCACGGACGTGGCGTCCCGCGGGCTGGACATCCCCAGTGTCGACGTCGTAATCAACTTTGATATCCCTACCAACGGCAAGGACTACATCCATCGCGTCGGCCGGACAGCCCGCGCAGGCCGCGCCGGGATCGCGCTGTCGTTTGTGACCCAGTATGACGTGGAGCTATACCAGCGCATTGAGCACCTTCTCGGCAAGAAGTTGGACACGTATGCATGCGAAGAAAGCACGGTGCTGGTCATGCTGGAGCGAGTGGGGGAAGCCCAGCGAGCGGCCACAATTGAGCTCAAGGAAGAGACGAGCAAGGGCACTGGAAAGCGAGCGCGGTACGGCAAGAACCACGAAGGCGATGGCGACGATGGCGACAACAAACGGCCGTACAAGTCGTCCAAGAAAATACAGCACGGCAAAGGGGGTAGCAGCGGTGGAAGTCGCGGCGGTATGAAAAAGGGTGGCGGACGAAAGTTCTAATTAATTATACAAATATGGTTGTACTGTCGGGCGTATATTATTGTCAAATCCGTTCCCATTTGGAGAATAATCGAATGAATTTGGCAAATGTATTTTAGAATGACCTAGCCAATCATATTACTCTTTTGAGAAATATGAGCCAATCAACGATCATCATAGTTTGGCCCAACCAACACGTACTACATGTTTAATTTGTATTCAATACATTGAATAAGTATAAAATCTAACTAAATCGATTCGTGTATCACCTGAAAAGTCTAATTTTGAGCGAAAAAGGCTAGTACTATTAACTGTAAGAGCGATGGCGAGGCCTCGAATTCACGTCAGCCACAAAAAATGTCAGAAAAGACCTCTTTTTGCTACTTTTCAGAAATATTATGACAATTTTTCAAACGGCAGCATTTGTGTGTTTACTACCAAATCTGACATAGATAGGTTAACAGTGACAAATAACGTTACGTCGACTTTTTACTGTTTTCTGATAGAATTTTTATTCAACTGCAACTCTCCATTTTTTACCAACATCATAGTCTATCGATAGTTCTCATTCCATCATGGCATCCAGAGGTCACATCAAAACATTTTGAAAATATTTTCTCACCTCCCATTGAAAACGGAATTCTCTGTCAGAATACTATTTGACACCAAATTTTCGGTGGCATCCAGACTTGGCCTTACAGGTTATAAAGATCTGTGTGTTTATACGATGAAGAAAATAGAATAATGTGTAGAAAAATATTACTACGGTAGTAAATTGTTTTTAATTTGTTACACCACAGCGGTTGTGGCCCCATTCACTTCATCGATGGGAAGGCCGAGTCTGGATGCCGCTCAAAATTTGGTTTCAAATAGTATTCTGACAGAGAATTCCGTTTTCAAATGGGAGGTGAGAAAATATTTTCAAAATGTTTTGATGTGACCTCTGGATGCCATGGTGGAATGAGAACTATCGATAGACTAACGTTATGATGTTGGTAAAAAATGGACAGTTGCAGTTCAAAACTTTTCTCTATCAGAAAACAGTAAATTACAACTTTGAACGGTTTGGACGCTTGAATTTTGTAGAGCTTTGTGTGATGCTCCTCCGGAAAATTGTGCACTGATGAGTTCACCCCGACTATATCCGATGTGATTCTCCCCTTTAGCTAACCTTATGCCGCAACGTCGTGGCCAACGCGCTGGCGCAAGACGTCTTGGTAGCACCTGAAGTGGCGGCTTTAGCACTTGCGATGGGTGCCACCAAGAAGTCTTGCGCCATCCACCCGTGCAACCACGTGATCACACCGACAGGGAGGTGTATGGTACCGACACGGACTGGATGGTGGAATGAGGGATGACCACATTCATTGGGTGGTCAGGCAAGTGGTGATGCGACTGAAGTCTAGACCTGTTCGAATTGACCGAGTCCTGAACACCAAGTCGCATGATCTTGCTCTCATACACAGCCTACATAATTATCTCAACGCGCCTTGCATCAACCGCCATCACAGGAGTAGAATAAATCCCAACAGGGCGTGATGAAGTCTACGTACTGTAGCGATTTTCGTGACTTCACGGCATCTGATTGGACAAATTGGGCAATGTTGAATACGCAAGGTGAACTGCCTTGCGAATTCCAAAAACAGAGAGACACATGAAAAATAAAAATCAAGAATACAAACTTGAAGATGTATTTAATTGAAACTTATACAATTTCAGAATTATTCATGGAATTCGCAAGGTGGTTCACCGTGCGTTGCATACAAAATTGCCTATTTCACCTTGCTTTTTCTGGTTAATGTCAATTTAAATATATCAGATTTCCCTGTTTATCGAGGTTCTATCGCATTTTGATTGGCTAGTCCGATTCTTATCCAAATATCTACTTCGAAGTTCATCCAAAGGTGCAACTTTCATACGGTTTGGATTTGCTTAGGCCGAGTTATGCAAAAATAGCAGTTCGATGGTGTCGCGAACTGTAAATACACTTCTTAAACGCATATTTTTATCGTATGTCTGCATGACCTTTTATCGATGAAATAATATTGTGCTTTCAAGCTAAATTTGGTATTTTCGGTACTGTAGATTCGACGATGGACGTGTCAAATCTACCTGAAATCGTAGATACATCGTTTTACTTTATAAAATTGGACAGAAATTTGGTAAGGCAGCCTGCCTTACGAATTCATCAATATAATGCGTTTAAAGGAATTTAAATTATTCAATACAAAGATGAAGCTTCATTCAATAACCTATTTCAGATCGATTTATGGTATTTGTAAGGTGGCTCACCTTGCGAGCCTACTTAAAAACCGACTGTTTCACATTATGAGTACTGTATTTCAGTACAGTACTAGTATGTGAAATGGAGAATCTTGGCATTAAACCTTTGGAATGCACCGGATACTGCTACGATTTGATTAGTCGAAAGGTTTTATACTGATCCAACGAATATTATTGGTTATTCGATTTCAAAATGGACTGGGGCTGCCAATCCAATCAAAATCGACGCAGTAATCGATGGACAGAAGTAGCAAAATCGACGCCGTTTTTCACAGTCAACAACCAACCATTACTGGTTACTGGTATTCGAACAGCCAAATGAATCCAAAACTACATACATTCTGACCATAGTGAACCTTCGTGGCATTTGCCTGAAAGGTCACATGACATGCATTCCCAATAAACTGTAGCCCAAGCCCAAATCCACCAACTGCAGAGGTCAATTGTCTGGACATGGCACGAGGCAGTACGTACCAGTCCGTCGCCATTGGCGGCGTAGCCAGCGCACGCGCTGCGCACCCCATCGAGAACGCCAACGTCATTTCGAGGCTCTTCTTTGCCTGGGCGACGCCCTTGATGGCCGTCGGCAACGCGCGGCCACTCGATCCGTCCGACGTGTGGCCGCTGCAGCTGGAGAACCAGTGCAGCATCGTTGGTCGTGTGTTTGAGCCTGTGTACAGCCAGAAGCACTCGATCCTGTGGACCATGGCGTCCGTGTTTGGCTGGGATTTGCTGTGGATCTTCATCATGCAAGTGGGCAAGGTCCTTGGCTCGCTCTACGGTCCGTACGTGTTGCAGCAGATCGTGCTGTCGATGGAATCCCAAGGTGGCTTCGATGCCACGTACTGCTTTCATCTCATTGGGTCGCTCGTGGTGGTGCAACTCGTGTCAGGGCTTCTGTCGGCCCATTCCGACTTGCAAACGCAACTGGTCGTGGTCAAAGTAACGTCGGCACTCCAGCACTTGTTGTTTCAAAAGGCCCTCCGGTTGGACGCCACCTCTCGTCGCGTCAAGTCCACAGGCGAGATCTCCAACTTATTCTTGTCCGACATCCCGTACATTGTGTTTGTGTCGACCCAGGGCAACCAGATATTGATTTTGCCCGTGCAGATCGCGTTGATTCTATGGCTGCTCTACACTGTGATCGGGTGGTCGTCGTTCGTGGGGGCGGCCGTGATCGTCCTCACTATGGGCAGCAACCAAGTCGTGTCGAATGTCATCCAAGCTTGCTTCCGCACCCTCATGACCCAAAAGGACATTCGCATGAAAGCGATCAACGAAACGTTCACTGCTATCCAAGTCATCAAGCTCAATGCATGGGAAGAGAAATTTGCCGCCAAGTTGGCCATCGAACGCAAAACTGAGCTCAAGCTAGTGTGGCGGTCGTTTTGCCTTGCCTTGTCACAGTTAGCACAGCGTTGACGTACCTTGGGCCTACCCTCGTGACCATCGTATCATTTGCTGCGTATACGCTGCTCCAGCATGCTACCCTTCCCGCGTCCACCTTGTTCACGGCGCTCAGCTACTTTAACATGCTCCGCCAGCCGTTTTCCCTCCTCGCGATGATCACGTCCAACTGCATGCAAGCGCTAGTGTCGATGCAACGTGTGAACGAGTTCCTCGAACTTTCCGAAACCAACGCGACGTCGGGCGGCGTCCTCACGCCAGCCACCACCCCCAACGACCAACTCCAAGACTACGCCCTCGACAACGTCGCTGTGGCCATTGAAAACGCCCGCTTTGGCTGGGACGCAGACATAAACAAACCTCTGTTTAAAGACGTCAACTTGACCATCAAGCGAGGGGAGTTTGTGGTCGTGCATGGATCGGTGGGCGAAGGCAAGTCATCGCTGTGTGCCGCCTTGTTGGGCGAAATGCACAAGTTCCAAGGCTCCATCTTTGTGGGGGGTCGCGTCGCGTACTACTCGCAGCAAGCGTGGATTCAAAACATGACCATCCGTGAGAACATCCTCTTTGGCCACCCCTACGACCGCGTCAAGTACAACAACGTGTTGGCAGCGTGTGCGTTGTCGAAGGACCTGACGCTGTTTCCAGCCGGCGACCGGACCGAGATTGGCCAAAAGGGGGTCAACTTGTCTGGCGGCCAGAAGGCTCGCATCAGTCTGGCTCGGGCGTGCTATAGCGACGCCGACATTTTCATCCTGGACTCGCCCTTGTCTGCCGTGGATGCGATCGTGCAAAACGAGATTTTCACCAAGTGTTTTCTCGGATTGCTGCGCCACAAGACAGTCCTCTTGGTGACGCACTCGCCAGAGATCATCGCGTCCAAGTTTATCGACCGTATTGTTGAAGTCAAGGACGGCAAGTTGATGGACAAGGCTGTGCTAGGCCGAGAATCCACCGACGACATGCCGAGTTCGATCGATCCATTGGCTGCTCGAAGGGGGTACCCCGTGGCCGGCGACGACGACAACCAAGTATTGACCACTGACATGCCCGTGTACAAGAGCAACGATTACAACACGATGCTATCGCCATCCACCCCTCATCATGGAGAGTCCTTCGACGTGTTTACTCCAGTGGGCCCCCATTTGACATTTGACGAGGATGCTGAGGTATCCGGTCAATTAGTGCTAGACGAAGGGCGGACCCAAGGAAAGGTGTCGGCGGCTGTGTACAAAGCGTACGTGGAGGCTGCGGGGGGGTGGGGCACCCTTGTGGGTGTGGTGGGCGTGTCCATATTGAGGCAAGGGCTCAGTATCGGCAGCGACTTGTGGCTCAGTGTATGGACAAGCACCGTTCCGATAGAAACCCCCCTCGAGTTTCAACAACACACGCCATACTACCTCGGGATCTACGCAGTGCTGGCCGTCCTCGCCGTGATAGCCACCGCAGTTGCGACACTGGCCACGTACGGCGCATGTGTGACAGCGTCCAAGACGCTATTTAACCAGATGACGGACGCATTGCTTCGCGCGCCCATGCGATTCTTCGACATGAACCCCGTCGGCCGCATTCTCAACCGGTACACGACCGACATTGGCGCGATGGACGTCAACATTCCGTTTCAGGTGGGGTCGATGGCATCCGTGTCGTTTCGAACGCTTTGCACCGTGGCCACAGCCATGTACATGACATCGTACCTTGGGCTCCTTGTGCTGCCCCTCGTGTACGTGTACGTGTGGATGGGGCGGTACTTTGTTAAGCCGGTTCGAGAACTGGAACGCATCAACAAAACCACCAAGTCGCCGCTGCTCAACTTGATGGCGGAATCGATTGAAGGGATGCTGGTCATTCGCGCGTTTGGGGACAACCAACGCCGCCGGTTCCAGCGCATGCACTTTCGCAACGTCGACGCGACCAACGAGTCGATGTTTGCCAAGGAAGTCGTGACCACGTGGTTCACACTGCGCATCCAGTTTACCAGCGCGTTTGTTGTGATGGTCGTGTCGGTGGCCCTGGTGATGATGCGAGATTCCCTCAGCCCTGGGCTCGTCGGCCTCGCCCTCAACTACATTTTCTCAAGTTTATCCATGTTAGAGTACCTCATTCCCAACTTTGCGCAGTTTGAAACGGTCATGGTCGGTCCGGAGCGGGTCGTGGAGTACGCCAACATTGCGCCCGAAGCCCCACGTGTGATTTCCGGCGCCGTGGCCCACGACTGGCCCACGAATGGCGACATTGCATTTACCAACATGAGTTTCCGGTACAAAGAGAACGACCCACTGGTGCTCAAGGACGTGAATGTGCACATTCAATCGGGTGAAAAGGTCGGCATTGTGGGGCGGACGGGGGCTGGCAAGAGCAGCCTAACTATGGCGCTGTTCCGCATCAACGAACTGGCTGGAGGCAGCATCAAGATCGACGGCGTCGACATCTCCAGCATCGGTGTCAAGACACTACGGAGCAGCATTGCTATTATTCCCCAGACCCCCGTGCTGTTTAAAGGCCCGCTGCGCAACTACTTGGACCCGTTTGGCGAGTTTGGGGATGCCGACTTGTGGGGGTGCTTGCAAAAGGTGCGTCTGGCCGACCGTATCGACAGCGTGGAGGGCAAGTTGGACAGCCCCGTGGAAGAAAACGGAGAGAACTTTAGCGTGGGCGAGCGGCAGATGCTGTGCATGGCGCGGGCGCTGCTCCGCCAAGCGCGCATTGTCGTGATGGACGAAGCCACGGCGGCCATCGACCACGAGACGGACCAGAACTTGCAGCGCGTGATCCGCACCGAGTTTGCGACGTCGACGGTGCTCACGATCGCCCATCGTCTCGACACGGTGCTGGACGCTGACCGCATTCTAGTGTTTGACCAAGGCCGGTTGGCCCAATGCGACACCCCCGCGGCGTTGATCGGCGCCGGCGCCGGCATCTTCTTTGAATTGTGTCACGAGGGCGGGTACTTGGACAATGTCGTCAGTAGCCAATTAGTCGAGTAGTTAGTTAGCTGTACGTACTTACAGTTAGTTGAATGAATAGAAGCATGGTTAGTTTTAAAACCAAGCTACTATATAGATCAAACTTTTCAATGGGTAAACGACATATTGTGCACATGTCTCCAGGTAAAATGAGTGTAGTGGCTGGCATGGCAGCACTGAACGCAACTAACTGCACGTAAGTTCATGTCACGTGGTTGCAATCTCTCCAGTGTTAGGATGGATGCACTTAGCACTGCACTATACTGCTACGAACGGCCTGTTTACCTTTCACTGTTCCTGAACTAACTGTAAGTACCTACCGGTAGTAGTATACTGCTGATTTAAGCTGTAATGCCCAACCTTTCGGCTTCATGCAGCACTTTTCAGAATTGAAATTGAATCGAAATATACTAAACAGAATTGAAATATACTAAAAGAGACGAGTAAACTGCATTCTACTACGACTAATAGGACAAAGTGCACCATAAATTGGCCATAGTATTGGTTGTGTTGCGATTATTCACTCATTTTAGCCAATCATACTTAACCCTTCATTCTTTTTATCCAATCAAACAGCTTTGCGTAGTTCCCATCAATCCTCAACAATCACTAAAGGAGGGCGAAATGCACACTATTAATAGTATATTGCAACGAACTACACATGCAGCAGCGGCGTGCGTTCGTCGGCCGTATCGGCGCGGTGACGATGACTATGGTGTGTGGTCGGGGGCTGGTACCACTTGAGTGCCAGGGACGACGCCACCACGGACACGGACGAGAACGCCATGGCAGCTCCAGCAAACATGGGCGGAATCTGGATTCGGAACCCATAGAGCACGCCGGCCGCTAATGGCAGCAGCACGATGTTGTACCCCATCGCCCACACAAAGTTGATTTGAATGCGACGGTAGATCGTCTGCGACAAGTCGAACGCGACCACCACGTCCTACCACATATGTAAATATATATATATATTGGACGACAGCTACCTTGAGCGCGCTCTTCATAAGCACCATTTGCGCAGTTTCCATGGCAATGTCAGTTCCTGCGCCGATGGCGATACCTAAATCCGCCTGGGCGAGGGCCGGTGCGTCGTTGATGCCGTCGCCAACCATCGCCACGACCCGTCCCGCGGCTTGCAGTTCTTGGACCTACATCGAATCAAACCAATCAATATATATATATATATATTGATATATATCTACATCGAATCAAACCAATCAATATATATATATATATATTGATATATATCTACATCGAATCAAACCAATCAATATATATATATATATATATTGATATATATATTGATATATATCTACATCGAATCAAACCAATCTATACATATATATATATATATTGAACTTTTCGTCGAACTTGGCAATTTTGAGATCCCCAAGAAATCCAACAAAGCACGATGATTGAATAAAAAAAATGAACGGTGCAAGATGATTATTGGCTCACACGAATGAATGTTCACATGATCCATTATATTTCGCAAGGCTGACTGGCGATAGTACATTAAAACAATAAGCTCGATGAAAACATTCACAATATATATAATATATATATATATATATCATTCCAAGCCAACCCAGTAACATACTCGTATCTATCCGACCACATGGATTACAGAAGCATCGACATATATATATATATAGCCAATCAGAAATTATTGCAGGAAAACACATCCATAACACCATTGCAATATCACCAAAAAAAATGAACTACTCAAAATGGGAGTCCAAACACGAATATACAATATATATATATATATATCCGTACACCAGGGGTCGTACAATGCGTTATACCATATATGTACCTTGGCAACTTTGTTGGACGGGAGCACCTCTGCCATAACATGATGCACGGGGATGCCCACTTGCTCTGCGATCCAGTGCGCCGTGCGCCGATTGTCGCCGGTCACCATGTACACAGCCATGCCCCGGGCATGCAGCTGCGCTACGGTGGCCTTGGCGTCTGGTCTGGCGGCGTCCGAGATGCCAAAGAGAGCCACGACTCGGTCGCATAAACCCATGTAAATGACAGTCTTTCCCGCCGCTTCGAGTCGGCCGCGCACAGCGTCATCAACATGACCCCTCTGCAGCCCGCACTTGTCCATGTAGTCCAAGTTGCCCAAGTGCACCGTTTCATCGCTCAGCTCCACCGAGATGCCTTTGCCAGACACGGCGTGGAACGTCACTGGGGTCTCGAGTGGTTTCGCCAGCAGCTTGGCGCGGTTCACCAGGGCGCGGCCAAGAGGGTGTTCACTGCCGAGCTCGGCCGACGCCGCCAGCCGCACCAGTTCATCTGGACATGAGGATGTTATGTCATCTCCTTCTTGGCCATCAGTTGAGGGATGGGCAACCACGACAATATCGGTCACGGAAGGCGTGCCGTTGGTGAGCGTGCCCGTCTTATCGAATAGCACCGTGTCGACGTGATTGGCGGCTTCGAGCGGCTCGCCGCCCTTGATGAGGATGCCCAGGGATGCACCGACGCCCGTTCCTACCATCACGGCCGTGGGCGTCGCCAGCCCAAGCGCGCATGGACACGCTACGACCAGCGTCGAAATGGCAAACTTGAACGCAAACAAAAATGCACTCGTGTGCTGGGGCAAGTCTACAAACCCAAGCGAGCCCAAGCTGTACCATATTAAAAAAGTAGCTGTCGACAGCACCAGCACCACTGGCACAAACACCGCCGCGACCTACAAGTGTATATTATATATATATATTGTCAAGGATGTCGAAATTGGAGTACGGTGCTCTCAATCGAATCACCAATCACAGACGATCATCGATACATCGACCAATCAAAACCCGCAACACAATGCAAGTGGCCAATCAAATACTCCACCCTTCGACCAATGCAACATTGAATTCGTGTGAGACTGAAATTAGTGTGACACTGGGTCAACGAATATCGATCGATAGATTTGGCAAAAAATCCGCAGAAAAGTCGACCAAATTTTGAGAAAGACAATCTACTTTCTCTGTTCCAGGTTACTGCCGACATTTGCATTTCATTGGCTGTAATTCTTCAATTTCTATCAATATTTATGACATTTCATTGGCTTACAATTGCTTTAAGCGCTGATTATAAACCAACCCTTTTGCTAAAATTCATGCATTTCCAAAGTATCACTCGCCCACATTGAGTGAGGGCTCGAATGGCCCGGACAATAAGTTACACTACTAATATTTCGGGTATGACTTAAATTAGTGTGATATTTATCCCCACTGGACACTTTTGTACATACAAAAGTTTTCAAAGAATTAGCGTTGCAATATGATTGGCCAAAAAGAACGAATCGTCACAAGATACCTCTTACCAAACTTAGATATATCTATATATCATATCTCGCAGGTCCGGTGATTCGTGGGCGGTTTATTTTGCAACCAATCGCCAGTGGATACACAAAATGCTCAGTCGAACAGCAATAATATAGAATCATACAACATATCGGGCTCACGAGATATAATTATATATATATATATATATCAGCATAAATTGTAGTGTTGGTTCCAAATTAGAAGGGTAGGCACAAATATGTAGCCAATCCAATTGTACAAAATCAGCATTTATTAGCCAATCAGAGTGTAGGAATCAGTATTTCACCGCCAATAATCCCATTGAAGGACATCACCGTTGAATCATCGAATCACGGTACACGACTGTAAATAGATCCCATCCACATCATTGTTTCCACCTCCAAAAATCAACGAAAATTCGTCCAAAACATTAAAAGAGATATTCTAAATAAAAAAATAAAAAAAAAAAAAAAATTATCATTTAAATTCTTTAAAAAAAGAAGAATATAATATTAAATTATTTGGGGAAAAATGAGCTTAAAATACCAATATTTGGTCGAGAACTTCACCCCATCAAACCCTCGCTCAATCTATTTATTATATAAATACTCGGTTCATGACGATTATTACCTGGTCAGCATACGCTTGAATCGGCGCTTTCGACGTCTGCGCGTCTTCCACGAGTCGAACGATCTGACTGAGCGCCGTATCTCGGCCCACACCCGTCACGCGCATGTAGAACAACCCGTCAATGTTCATGGTAGCGCCCAACACAGTGTCGTCGACGCTCTTCTTAATCTGCGACAAGGGTAACCATTGTAAGTATTTAGTTCAAAAGACTAGTACATACCAATCGAGACTCCCCCGTGAGCATGGACTCGTCCAGCCGGCCTTCGCCTTGGGTAATGACGCCATCCGCAGGAACGCTCGTGCCGCGCACGACTTTAAGCACATCGCCGCGCTGGACCAACTCGATCGGGACGACTTTTTCACTTGTGGACCCGTGGTCTGACACGACTAACGTCGCCACCTACGATCGCCATATATCGTGAACATGTGCGATACAGTTACTTGACACATGCGACAAGGTCATGTATGCAACAGCACGGCGTCACACACACGCAGATATGATCAAACCGAGGGGATGCGTAGGCATTAATTAATATTTGTAGGACGTAATGTAAAAACGAAAAGCTATATATATGTAATATTTATATATATATTAATGTATAGATTTCCTAAAGAAAACGTTTTCTTTGTGAAAATTTCACTTGGATTCGAAACTATTCGAGCTCAAGAGAAATGCATCACAAGGGAATCCATGAAATGAACCGCCAAAGCCAATCAAATCGCGTGGTTTCGGTGAATTTCAGCCAATCGAAAAGTACAGAGTTAGATCCGTCCGTCCACGTTGGGCAAAAACCATGATATATATATATATATATACTCATCTGTGTATAGTATAGTTTATACAAGCTTAAATGATACAGTAGTTGGCGAAATGACTCTAAAAATGTGGATGAAATGCAAAAACTATCAGATCTACATCGTCCTCAGCTAGGTAGGTAGGTGCACACCTAGTCCTTCCAAACGATGTACTGTATACACCTATTATGCACAAATAGGCAAAGAAGTACTCGAAAACACGTATACAGACAGCAGTTGTGTTGTGGAGGCCTGTCTGGCGTGTGTACGATATATATATATATATACATCTGAGGATCGCATATATATATATCATTTTTCACCTTGACTTGCAGGTCAAACAGTTTGCGCAATGCGTCGTTGGTTCGACCTTTGGCGACTGCTTCGAGTGTTTTGCCAAGGGCGATGAATGTCACGAGGGTCGACGATGTCATGTACATGTCAGGGACACTGAAGGACGCATCACCGAGGTAGAGGCAGCGGAGGTCACTAAACACGGCAAAGAAGTAGGCGGCATTCGTGCCCATGGACACTAAGAACGCCATGCCGAGCACGCGGTTCCTCACGCCTTTCCACGCGTCGATGTGGAAGCGGCGGCCGCAGTAAAACTGCACGGGGGTGGCCAATCTAAAGCGAAAAGGCGCCAAAATGAGCGAGACATTTGCAACCCAGATATTTGGCTCACGAACAAGTACGTACAAGAACAAGACAAGGTCGTTCCATGTGGACCCGTTGATGTGAAACACTTGGGTGCGCAGGCCGCGGGAAATCGGCGCAATGTTGTCCAGCAGCATCATGACAATCAAAATGGGAAACGTAAACACGAGCGCGACGACGAACGTGCTTCGCCACGTGGCAATGTCGATCTGCCGGTTGTCGTCGGACTGTACCACGGCGCTCGTGGTGGCCACCGCCGCGCCGTACCCGATGCCTTCCACGACCTCGATCAGCGACCGAATGCCGATGGTCGAAGCGATGAACTTGACGCTCGCGCTCTCCGTGGCGAAGTTCACCACGCACGACTCGACGCCGGCCGTGGCGCGCAACGCCGACTCGACCGAGTTGGCGCACGAGTTGCACGTCATGCCAGACACTGCGATTGTGACGCGGGACGACGACGAATCCGCGGGAAGTTCCTTGATGGAGATAGATGCATGAGATTTGGTCGTTGGCGGAGTAGTAGAGGATGATAGCGACGGAAGGATTGGCACCGCGGGACTGGTGGGAACGACCACGCGCGGCGAACTGACCTGGACGGATGCAACAAACTTTTTCCCGGCGCCTTGCACCGTGTCGATCAAGTCGTCTTCGGTGATGCGACTCCCGGGCTCAATGACCACCGTCGCTTGCTTGAGATCGAAGTCAACTTTGGCCGACTTAACGCCAGCCGCAGTTGCAAGCGCGGATTCCACCTTGCGCGCGCAATTCATCATGCAGCTCATCCCATCCACGTGGAGAACCACAGTACGTGCACGACGATCGTCCCCTGGAAGGTACGCATCGTATGACTTGTTCAGTCCTGCGTCCAACCCACGCACGGCCTGGATCAGCTCGACCACTGACACGGACGTCTGGGGCGAGGTAAACGTGATCGTCGCGCTCTTGCCTTGGAATCGTACGTCGGCGGAGGCGACGCCGGGGATGTCCTCCAGAGCCTCTCGAATACGCCGAGCGCACTTGTTCTGGCAGCGCATGCCCTCCACGACCAGCTTCACCCCAGTCGATCCAGTCGTCATGGTCACAATTCCCAAATGAGTGCTTCAAGAGTCAACACAAATGCACTTGATATTTGTATGTCGTTGCAGTAGCTGCAAGATACCGCGATGTTCCTTAAGTACGCCTAGATTGAGCCTGTAAAGTACGAGTTTCGACTAAATCCGCTGTTTGTAAACCTGGCACAACCGCACACACCAAAATCCGTCGGATTAAGTACGATTTCAATTTATCCGCGCACCCATACAGTACTTACTGTACCTCTTACAGCTTAGTCTAGTGTGTACTTCAAAGTAAGCAGAGTGAAATCCCGAAATGCCCACGACAGGCCCTACCTATTTCATGCGCTCATTATGCGTAAAACTATCTATCTGTTGAAGGCCCCACAAGTCGATGTGTGACAGAGTACAGTATAGTATACCGTATAGGTTGTGCGTCGACGCACATGCTGCCTCGGAATCTGAATTGTCGCAGGGGGGGGGGCGACTCTGTCCAGTGGTTTTGGCATCGGTGGCTGTGTTAAGTGCGGAATTCGATTAAGTCCTCGATTTGTAATTGTTGGCGCGATGCGATTGGCTCTTCCCACGCATCACACACATCCACGAATGAACGTTCTCGAACTAACGTTAGACGACAGCACGCACTTAGGGTACCAAAAGGTGTCGATTTCTGCGCTGAACGCTGCTGGAAGGTGTCGCTTGTTGTGGCGCTGAACGGCTGCTGTAAAGCCAAATAAATCATCCATCGAAACCACTTTATTCTTGACTCATCGAATATGCTGGCTACCGAGCGGGAGCACCAGTGACGACGTTTGAGAGGTGGGGGCAGGCGCAAACGCGTTCCAAAATCGGAGGGTTTCGTCGCCGGCGCCCGTGACGATCGTTTGCCCATTGGGCGACATGGCCAGGTACAGCACTCGATACGTGTGCCCAGTGAGCGTGGCCACTTTAGCCATGCTGGGGTACTTCCACACGATGATTTGGTTGAGCGAGTAACCGTGTGTGCTCACAACTTCGTTGCTGTTCTTGGACCAGACAAGGTTGCACACTTGCGAGCCAGTGTCCACGGCTTGCAACGCATGACCTTGTACGGTGTTCCAGAATCGGATGCATCGATCGGCTGTGCCGCCCCCGGACGCCAGTAGCCCTGGTTGATGGGGGGACCACGCTATGGCTTTGACTGCCGCAGTGTGATCTGTAAACCGCAGTACTGGGTGGACAGCATGGCAATTCCAGATCATCAGCTGCTCAGTTGATAGAGTATGAGAGAACGGTAGTAAGTTACTGTTATGGGAAACACAGCAGCGGGCGATGCATGTACCTTGTTGTCGTTGCCGCCAGAGGCCAATTGTGTGTTGTCAAACGACCACTTTAACCCACAAATTTCTTGTTTATGGCCTTGCAACGTCGACGTCACATCCAATGGACACCGCGGATCGCGCAGGCAGATCGTTTTATCACTACGATTACACGAACGAACAACCACATGTTAGTCAGAGAGATGTACCACCAATGCCTCACGAAAACACACATCGCCGTACCGACTGCCAGACGCCAACACGGTCGAGTTCCACGCTAGAGTTCCCACACGTTCAGTGTGCCCCCTATTTGGCACCGTTCCATGTGAGCCATAAATATGAGCTGGTGAATCGTACGTCATGACGCGAATACGCAAACATAACACGGCATCCCATAGTTGAACGTCTCCGTGATGGGTTCCAATGGCGAGATGGGTGCCGTGGGAAGACCATGCCACGGACGTGACCATCGTGCCCAACTCGCACAGTTTCGTGACTTTGCTTGTGCACGAGCTCCAGAGATACACGGCGGACCCCAGGCCCACAGCGAGGATATTCATGGATGACCAATCGACCAAGTTGAGGTAGAAGTCGTCCTGAAGGGCGGGGGCATCGAGGATTTTAAACGGCGATTTGGCAATCTTTCGCTGTTTCGCTAACGGCGGGCTCGTTGCGGCTAGCCTAGTGTATGTAGGGTGAGTGAGGCAATAGCAATAGAGAAGAAGAACGAGACTTACGGGTTGCGCTTCAGCAGAGGAGTCGTGGTTGGAAAAGAACAGGATAAGTGGTCACGCGGGGATTGAAATCGAAACAAATTCCTTCGTGTTGTGGCAGACGATTGCCGTGGGTCAGTTGCCACACGACGGTCAAAGAAAGGTTTAGAGGAAGCAAGAGATGCGTCCACGCCAAGGTATTCGCGTTGCAGGAGCAAGCTCAGGTCGCCTTGGTTCTTGGTTGGTGGGGGGTTGGTGGGGGGATGGAGTTGAGTGCGCTTCGACGACGGGTACGCCATGTCAGGCAGAAGGTCGAAGGTTGTCTCGAGGTTGGAGGCTGTACGAGAGGGGATGAATCGGTCGCTGTAAACGCACTTTGACCGGCTACAGTTACCAGACCTGTCAGGGATGACAGCTCAAGACGGAAACAGCACATTACCGTGGAGCACTGGAGGGATGGGACTTGGTCGTGGGAGATGTGACATTGGGGCGGCTGCCTCGGTGCTGCAACTGGCTGCAGTTTTCAACATTTGGAGGTTGTCGTGAAGATGCTGATCGGGTGGACGACGATGGAGACTTGCAGTTGTTGGTTATGGGGTGGTGGCCTTTGAGAAGCCGAGCCTAGGCGTTATTGTAATTACGCGTTGGCCACATTGGTTCCTTACTTCGTATTCGCTGTGAAGTACCCGCCCTGGGTTGGTACTGCTTGCGCTGTTCGCTAACATTGAAAAGGCACTAGTGGCACTGTGTAGCCAAAGGTTCCTTAACTTGATGGAAACCTCGACAAACCTTCCACCACGAAACGGCCTCGTTGCATACAAACTTCAAGTGAAAGAAAGGCCGTAGTATGTTCTTTTCCGGTTTGGGGTTCGATGATTTGCCGCAGCGAAACACAGCAGTAATGAACGTGGTAACTAAGTGCTCAGTAGTAGGATAATACTAGTAAGGCTGAATTGCCTCCTTCTATGTAGCTATCTATACACGTCGTACTAGTAGTTAACCTGTGCATATCCTCAGTACGTGTTCGGTCCTTCGGTCAATTGGTTGATTCAACTTCAACAAACACTAAATACGACTTTGAACTTACACTATTTAAGAACGAACCTTGGTACACTCTATTTAGTGTTAGGTGCCACACCATTTGAGTTTGAGAGGGAAAAGCGCTGATCTTTTGGCGCCACGGATTCGATTCATTAAAATGGCATATAATAATTTGACATACGAAGGAACAACATACAAACATTAAGTTAGTTTAATTTGTGCCGGATATTTCCGGATAAGAGGTACTGTCATGTGACGTTTCACCAGCGGCGGCAGATATACCGTTTGATCGTCCTCGTGCTCAAGCAGTGATGTCGTCGACGACGGTGGTGCAGTGCACGCGTCCGGTAATCCTTAACGAAGCGCCGCAGCAAGCATGGGTGGAGATCTCGATGGAACCTGGCAATGCGAGGTTGAAGAGCGGTGCCGGGTTCATCTGGCTTCGCGAAGCCAAAGTGTATGCCGAGCGAAAGGACAAGGTGTACGACGTGCGCGTGACTGACGCCAAGACAAACATCATGCGGTTCAAAATGGAGTGGAAGACTTGGAAAGAGACTGGAGGAGGGTTTGAAGCAGCACTCGCGCAAACGATCGACAAGGTCAAGTCGTCGTCGAGCATTGAGGCCATGATGATGCGTCGACGCAAGCGGGCCCCACCAGCCGTCAATGCCGTCGCGGTCACGAAAAAAGTTGACGAGAATGTCAAAACGGAGTCTGTCCAACCTGTTCCGGCCGCAGCACCAACAGAAGCGGCATCGACGCCACCACCTGTCCATGCGAACCCACCCATGGACGACACCGCTGTAGTCACGACGGACGAAGAAGACAAACGATTGCTTCCGTTAGACGTCCTGGGCAGCCCCCGACCTGCGCGGAAGCGTTTGTCCTTGCCGCTGCAATCCCCGCCACGTCTAGTCACCCACCGCATGTCCATCTCGCCGTCGTCACCCATGAAGCAAGGCATGACCGCCAAGTCGCCGTTCCGTTCACCGTTTCGCTCTCCATTTCGAAAGACCGAAGTGGAAAAGCGGTACCTGAGTCCGACCCGCGACGCCAGCAGCAGCAGCCCCATGCCCCGCCGTCGATTGAAGCGGCCGCATCAGGATATTGTGGAAGCACTCGACTCGCCCGACCGACCTCCTCGCCGCGTCCGGTCGCTCTTCGACGCGAATGAAGCTGACACTCTCACTCCAGCATCCCCGCATCTGATGGCCCCACTGGCAGTCCACGTCGCGACGCCGCCGCTTTCAACGACCAGCGCAGAACCATCGCTGGCTTCTAAGAGTCTGCCGTCCACAGTTAGCAAGTACTTCAAGCCGCCGGTGTCACTAGCCAGCATGCTCCCGTCAGCCTTTGTGGACGCAGGAACCATGTCGCCAACTGCGACGACCTCCCCATCACAACCGCTTGAAACATCCTCGTCGAGCCTCGCTCCGCCTTCCGCCCGTCGGTCCCCATGCACCCCCAGTGGCAGTACCGACGACGGCAGTCACCACAGCAAAAATATGCGACAACGTGATGGCCAATCGCCGTCCAAAAATGACTCGCCACACAAAGAGACCGACCATTTGTCGACCAGGTGAGATTGCCCCCTGTCGCATATATATATATATATCCATAGATTGATTGATGTTATGTTTGACATGGATGGATTGATTGTAGCGCTCCTACGAATCAAGCCATCATCGTCGTTCCACCCCCGCAACTCCACGGACTTGTCAACTTGGGCAACACGTGCTACATGAACGCAGTGCTACAGGCATTGCTATGTTTGCCAGCGTTTACAAGCGCATTGCGCACCGAATCTTGGGTAGATGACGTCCATCTCAAGCCAATGGCTGCAGCCCCACATACTGAAGAAGCCAACACCAACCATGTTCTGTACACGCTCTTTCAAGCCATGGTCCAGGCCAAATTAACCGGAAAAGCATTGGGGAATCCAAGCGCACTCAAAGCCGAGTTGGCCAAACGATCGCCCATCTTTGCCAAGTACGTATCCGTCGATTCTTTGTACTGACTTTTGTATATGCGGTTGATATTACACTACTTGAAGCCACACACATTCACACTATTTTGACGTGGATGATGGTTTCCTGCAATCTGATTGGCTTTACATTTATTGATTTGTTTGTCCGAATTTCCAGACCCCGTTCAATCGAATATATATATATATATATATATCACGCCGACCAAACCGATCAGAAATCGCTCCCATTGGTCACTCTGAAAATGCGTGTCGCTGATTGGCTACATTATTATTATTCTTTAGTGCTTTCTGCGACTTGCGGACATCCAATGAAATGTCGTGGCCAGATTTGTGATTGGTTTTACGAATCTCGCCAAAAAGTGCGAAATATACAGACAACGAGGGAATTTAAGGCTCATCGAAGTTTTGAGTGTCACACACTTTTTTCAGCCAATCAGCAGCAAATCACGAAATACTTAAATTTCTATTGGTGAATTTTTATAATATGTTTCGAATTTCGAACTACGCTATCCAGTCATATCGTGAAATTTGCGCTACACACAGAACTTCGATGAGCCTTAAATTCCCTCGTTGTCTGTACATGTATTGTGAAAATTCGCTATAAACTTGCAAAATTCGCCTGTTTGTCGAATCAATATTGAGTCACGCTGAAGTTCTGATTGGTTGAATATATTTGTCCTTTCTGCACGAGCCAATCAAAATATCACTCCAAAATTGGATGAGCCAATAGCGTTGATTCGATTCGTGGAAATTCATACCGAATATACCACAATAACTAGCAAATTCATGATCCTATTGCCGATGCTACTGGACATTTATTACATTTCGTTGTGTGGATCGTATCACTCTCCATATCACCATATGATTCCACGTTAGAATCTAAACACAACTAACTTACATACTTACTACTGTACATACATGTATGTAGCAAGGAACAACAGGACGCCCACGAGTTCTTTTCCACGTTTCTGCACGAACTTGAAGAAGACATGACGCGTCTGGCAATCATGCAAGCACTCGAAAACGCAGCCAAACCCAAGCAGACACTGCTGTCGTACTTTGGCCGATCCTCCCACCATCAGCCGCCGCGTCCCGTGACGCCCGGCAACCTGCTGCCCACCGCAGCTTGCTTCCAAACTACCCTCCAACAAACCCTCACGTGCACTTCGTGCTCGTACAGTCGGCCCATTTCAGAAACATTCCGCGAGCTTTCGCTGGACTTTCCGCCTCTATCGGTGCATCCGCCCCGCCCCTTGGTGTGCTCGTGTCGAAAGCCGCCGGTGCTACTCACCGTCAAGAAAGAAGGCGCCAACCACGGCCGCCAGTTTGTCAAATGCGGCCAACCTGTCAACCCGTGCAAGTTTTTTGAGTGGCAAGACTGCCCCCCACTTGCCCCACTTGCCCTGACCCAGTTGCTCACAGAGGTATTGTGCTTTCGAGTGGTTTCTCGTTGGAATTTCAATCGATTTGATTGGCTACCTCCGATGAGCTCAACATTATTGCCAATCAAAACCCATTTCTCAATGAAATTCAACCAATCAGATCGATTGTGAAATCGGTTTGGTCGATTCGATCCCCACCAAATTTGTATCAAATCGACCATATTGTCTGTCTTTTACCCCAAATTGTGCTGAATCGCCAAATTTATCGATATATTCTTTGTACTGAAAACGTTTGCATGTAAAAAGGTGTCCGTCCTGTGGTGATTGGTATCATTACACTAATTGAATTCTCACACTAATTCGATATTGGTGATGGTTATCTGCAATCGGATTGGCTAAATTCTTCTGCCGATGATCCTTGTGTATTTGGTTGTGTCGATTTATTCATTGAGTCGATATTATTATTCTCGAGTCGATCCAGTTTAGAATATAAACACAACTAAACACAACAATATATATATATACATATATATATATATATATATATACATCAAGCCCGTTTGGCGACCAGCCAAGACAGACTCGTCTCGAGCTAGCATGACATTTGGTGTGTATTTTTAATAGCATTTCAAACCGCGCCAAGTGGACATCACGTGTGAAAAGTGTCCCCATGGAAAGCAAGCCACCATGACGTGTCACATCCAGTCGTTGCCGCCAGTGCTGGTCCTCCACTTGAAAAGATTTGAAGTCCAGCATGCGACCTTGACCAAACGGGTGGATGCTGTCGACACCCCCGTGTCATTGGATCCGTCGACGTGGCCTCTAGCTGGCATCGCGTCGACACCCACTGACCTTGCTATAGCTACCACCCACGTGCCAACTCCATTGTACGAGCTCAAGGTATGTACGGGCGAAAACGACATAAAGATATGCAAAATCGCACAAGTCAATTTCGAATGGGTAGTGCATCGTGCGGCATTTGGGTCGCACGGCCAACGAAGGACATTATGTGACAGATGTCCACGACGACCAACACCAGTGGATGCGATACAACGACACCCTTGTCACACAAGTACGTTCGTTCAACCAACTTTGTACACTTGTTTGTGTGACTACAACACATTGGATTTGATGCACGTAGGTGGATGCTACTCAAGTGTTGCAAGGCCATGGAGCCAAGTCGGGGTACCTCCTGGTCTACGTGCAGCGAGACCTTGTCCTCCGTCCATCCGTCCATGCATCCGCCCCCCACGCCGGATAAGTACATCCACTTTGGCAAACCATCCAAGAAGAACCTTGGCAACTTTGAGCGGTGGCTCGCATAACATATCCCAAGCTTGCAGTTGACTGCAGTGGTGTTGTTCACCACGATGGAGGAGGCTGTGTTTTGATAATAATTTACATGCACTTGATTCAAAGCCATGATGATATACTACTGTATGTACTCTACAGTGCGAGACTCGGCTGCTTGGGAATAACGAGGCCATTCGGGTTTGCAAACGAGTCGGGGTCTTCTTGGACAGGCACAAACCGCATAACCACACCTACATATATATCGATCGGGTTACCCACTCCAAAAAAGGATATCAATAGTAGTAGTACTACAACCATACAAAAGTATTTTATCGATGTGACGGATTATGTCGATTATATATAAAGTATTAATATTACTTCGATTCTTGTTTTGATATTTTGAATTTAGATTTTTTGACTTTAACAGTTAAAAATGTAAAGACAATTCATGTAAGATGAACAAAATGGAAATTCAGGAAGTGATCAAATTCACAGCCAGTTCGATCTTTGAAATAATAAGGATATATACATATAACTAGGTTAACCAGGTTAACAATAACAAACAGTAAAGCAGGAGCGATGCAATTGGAAAGTTTGAATATGTAGGCAGCACCGTGTCGCAGACGACATACCGAGGGGCAGCGTGATGACGCCGATGGCAACGCTATACGCCCACAACGTGCCGTCGAGCGACGAAGTTTTGGTAAAGTCGCCCCCAAACTCGACAATCACGACTTGGAACACCACCGTCATGGCCAAGATAAATAAGAACATCGTGTTGGAGAAGAACCCGTGGAGGACACGCCAGTCGTTGGTGACGCTGCGGGCGTTGATTTCATTGAACACTTGGGCAAACACAAACACATTGAAAAGAAACGTAAAATGCCGGTAGTCGTACACGTCGCACCGCGGCGACTTTAAGCACGCAAGTGGGACGTTCGGAGGCATCGCATGCGACTGATTGAATGTCGGGTACAGCGGCACGTACGCCGAGCAGTTGAGCGACCAGCACGTCGAGTGATTTTGCAGCAAAACGCACGGCTCCGGGGCGGCGACGTTGGCAATGTCATCTATCCAAGCGTACGTTGTGCTTATGCACGCGTTGCCGTTCGGGACGTCGAGCCAGCCCGGGCCCAGAAACAGCAACATCAACAGCGTCGTCAGCTACCAGCATATGATAAAGATGATGGATGTGTCAGGTCTATCTGTCGGCCACATGAACGCTATCATCCATTATTGGGCATGTCGAGGCTGCTCGGTGTTTGATCCATACTCGATCGTTCGATTGTTGATTCGTACCTGGAAGGTGGACTGGATGATAATGTGCTTGACCATGATACGGCTCACGAGCGACGCGTCCTTTTTGTACGGCCGTCGCAGCAGCAGCTCGGGCTTGGGCACTTCGGTCCCGAGGGCGAGGGCCCCCATCGTGTCCATGATCAAGTTGACCCACAGCATCATGACGGCATTCAAAGGCGGGTCGAAGCCCGCGAGTGCGCCGAGAAACGTCAGAGACAGCGCGACCACGTTGACCGTGAGCTGAAATTGCACAAATTTCCGAATATTGTCGTACACACACCGCCCCCATAAAACACTCTGCTTGATGGACGCAAACCGGTCGTCCATGATGATAATATCTACCGAGTCCCCCATTGGACACTTGCCCAACATGACGATATATATATATATTCTACAAGTACCAGCAGCTTCTTTGGCCAAGTCTGTGCCAGCTATTCCCATAGCCAAGCCGACGTCGGCTGCCCGAAGGGCGGGGGCGTCGTTCGTGCCGTCGCCAGTCACCCCCACCACCTCTTGCCGCGCACGAAGCATGGTCACGAGCATGTGCTTATCGTCTGGGGACGATCTCGCCAAGACCTACACCCCCCGATATCACACACATATCACACATCCACCACACTAACGTTACTGCATGACTTGTACCTGAAGCTTGGGCAACAACGCCTGCAGTTGGTCCTTGGGCATTTCTCGAAACACGGGCCCTTCCAACGCCACGCCGTCGGTTGTGAGGATGCCACACTGCTTTGCAATCGCCCGCGCGGTGTGAATATTGTCACCCGTGACCATCCGCACGGTGATGCCCGCCCGCTGACACGTCTGAACACTCTCGGCCACGTCAGCGCGGAGGGGGTCCATGATGCCAAAGATGGCGCAGCACACCATGCTGCCCTCGGGGGGGTTGTCCAATGTGCTCAGGTCCGCGGGGAGTTCGTCGGCGCTAAAGTCGCGGTAGGCCACGCACATGGTGCGCAGGCACATCTTGGCCATGCCCACGATCGTGTCGTGGATGTCGTCGTTGGTGACGGTGTTGAGGACGCCCACGGTGCCGTTGGCTTTGAGCACGTGCGTGCATCGGCTCAGGATGATCTCTGCCGCGCCCTTCGAGTACAACCGGAACCCCCCGCCATGCACCCGGACAATCGTGGACATGCTCTTGCGCTCGGACGAGAACGAGTACATGCGGTCTCCCGTCTGCGGCCGAAACGCAGCGTCGCGGACCTGTTTGTACACAACGCCTTGGTTTCGCAGCCACAACAGCATGGCGCCTTCGGTCTTGTTGCCCTGGACAATCGGCATGTCCTGTGGCCCGCCTTTTTCGAGCAATTGCGCTGTCGAATTGGCACACACGGCCGTGGCGACCATGTCAAAGTACCGCGCGTCAAACTTGATCGGGTGGTTCCGCATCGACGGCTCGTCGTAGTGCTTGCCTTGGGTCCACAGCTCCACGACAGTCATCCGGTTCTCGGTGAGCGTGCCCGTTTTGTCCGAGCAGATGCTGGTGCAGTTGCCCATGGTTTCGCACGCGGCCAAGACACGGATGAGGTTGTGGTCGTTGAGCATCTTCTTGGTCGAGTACGACAGCGAGATGGTCACGGCGAGCGGCAGGCCTTCGGGGATGGCCACCACAACGATCGTCACGCCAATGATGAACGTGTCGAGGAGCTTGTGCACCCACGTGCCTAGCAAAACAAAAATGGCGTCGGGATATTGCACCCATCACAGATTCCATTCTTGTAGTGGCTGTCCACACACTTGACAAAACAGAGTTACACGATGGTATACAGCAAACAGCACATTGAAATCAAGACACAAAACTAACAGTCTACCTTTGCGCAATTCGGGAGAGGTCGTGGCGTAGATAGATACCATGGCAATCATAGTCGCGATGGCACACCCCATCCCGCCATAGCCGATGATCTTGACCATGTCGTCAAGCTTTTCCATCAGCGGCGTGGCCCGATGCTCCCGAACGAGTTTGGCCTTGATGCGTCCCCATCTAGAATCTGACCCGATCGCTGTGATAATGACCTCGCACCGTCCGGACGCCAGCAGGCACCCCGAGAGCAGAAACGGGTCCTTCGTCACTCCTTTCGTCACTTCGTCCGGCTCGCCTGTGAGGCTCGACTCGTTGCACTTGACGTCCTGGCCGCGTAAAAACACGGCGTCGGCGGGAACTTTGTCGCCACTCTCGAGCACGACGATGTCGCCGACATTGATGTCTGCTACCGGCACCTGGTCGTAGTTGCCCGCGCGTAGCACCTTGACGTTGAACTCGTCGTTCTTGGCGTTCAACGCGCGAAACTGCTTCTCTTTGGTGTAGTTGCTCACGGTGCTCACGAACGCCACGAGTACGACGGCCACGACAATCGTAAACCCTTCGACCCAGCCATGTTGAGGGTTTTCGATCATGCCGGTTGCAATCGACGCCACCGCCGCCACGTTCAATATGATCAGCGTCGTATCTTTGAAGCAATCGACGAACAAGGACAGAAAACTCTTGCTCGGAGCCTCCACAAACGTGTTGGTACCGAACGCCGCCCGCCGCGCAAAGAAGTTGGCGTCGATCTCTTGACGACTGAGCCCCGTCGCCGTGTCGACTCGGAGCTTCTTTGCCAGCCCGTCGACGCCGCCCAACTGTTTGAGGTTCTTCACGTTCGTTTCTGTCATTTGGTCGATGTTGATGTCGGCCAGCCCTTTCTTGGAGATGCCAAAGCCCCCACCCGCCTCGACCTCTATCCGCGCCGGCCCAGGAACCACTTGATCCGCCAGCACATGTGTGGTATCCTCAACGTCCGGGCTCCGTGAACCCAAAGGCGTCACGCGAGTCATCCTGTGGTTCTGTTCTCTACTTGAACGGTGCTGAGGACTGACCACTCAGTGAGAGACCCTGACGTTACCAGTCTATTTGAAGATGGAACCGACAACGCTGCTGCGTCCGTCGGTGGTTATGGCGGTTTCAAAAACGAAATGGAAAAAAGGCCAATGAACCGGATATATTATCCGGATGTGTTTGCCCAAGATATTTTGTTCGACGGCCGGCTTGCTTGTTGGACTGTGATGATGATCCCTGGCATGTCCCTCCACCACGTACAGATCAAGAAACCGAACCACCGTAAACGTCATGCCATGGCTCAGATCATGGCTGGCACCGAAGATATCGTGTCTGCCGTAGCGCACAAGGCTTGCTCGTCCATGCAGCAGCAACCCGCAGCATCACCGCCTGTCAAGGCCGCCGAGGCGACCGAAGCTCACGAGCCCAGTTCCCGGTACACTGCGACCAAGACGTTGCCAACGTGGATCACGAACGACAGACAAGTGCTTCGTTTCTTCTGCTACTTCTTGGACTCGTCGTCTGACGACAGCTCCAGTCGCGACAGGTCGACCTCTACCCCAGAAACGTCCGGTCCTCCACCGCCAACCATCCGACGCCTCGTGTTGCATTACTACTTGTCCGACGCGTCCATTGAAGTGTGCGAGCCTCGCGTGGTCAACAGCGGTCTTGACCAAGGCCTCTTTCTTCGCCGCACCATTCTCAATCACCCGTCAACTTCGCAGCCGTACACTCCGTTCGACTTGGTGGTCGGCTCGTCGTTGCCAATTAAAGGTCGCTTGTTCACGCTCGTTGATTGCGATGCCGCCACCCGCGAGTACTACGTCCAAGCCAAGCAGCCCCAGCCACCTGCCAAGTTATATCCAGACACGCCGCCATCCTCCACTTGGACCGAGGTCGAGCGCATCAAAATGGCACGCAGTGCCGTTCCGCCGAGCCACCATCCGCGTACACAACGGGACCCCATCACGGACAAGGTGAACCATGCCGCCAAAGTCCACCAGTTTATGACGTACAGCAACAAAGTGCTTCGGTTCTTTTGCCGGTGGGACGACCCACATCCATTGTATCCTGTCAGCCGCCCATTTGTCCTGCATTATTACCTGGCAGACGACACCGTCGAAGTGCGCGAAGCCACAAAAGACAGGGGCAGCAGTCGCCACGCGGTGCTCTTGTCGCGCAGGTATCTTCGAAATACATCTGATTCTGATTATATCTGTGGTCGTTCGACAACCTGCGTCTGATTCCATACATCGGATCCAATCGACAAAGTTCTGATTCTGATACCTACCTAACTACGTAGGCGGCTCCCGTTCGAACCCGTACCCACCCACCACCACCACCACCACGACCGGGGCTCGCCCGGCACCGGTCGCTTTGTCCACCCATTGGATCTTCGGTGCGGCGACGGGCTGATGGTGTTTGGTCGGTGCTTTAACCTGATCGACTGCGACGAGTTCACGCGCGCGTTTTATTTGGACAGGCACGGTGTCACACAAGAGTCTCAGACTCTGTTGGGTGAACCCGCCGCCGTCCGCGTCGACGCCCCCGAGCCCGACGACTCGATACTGCGTCCGCTGCTCCAGAAATCCGAGCGCAAAGCCATCAGTAAACCGCTGGGAGTGGACCAATGTCTTCGTTTCCGAGCCAAATTTGCATCCCCGCCCGACGACATCCAAGCCAACCGCCGGTTCATCCTGTCGTTTTACCTCTTGGATGCGACCCTGGCCATATATGAGCCACATGTGCCCAACTCAGGGCGACTCGGGGGAAAGTTCCTCGACCGGCAGTCGTATAAACTGCATCAACCCCCCGGGAATCGATTTGTCCGCGCGGGGGACTTGGTCGTGGGCGGCACGTTGCAGTTGCACTTAACCCCGTCGCAGACGTTTATGCTGCTCGAGGCCGACGACCAAACCCTGACCTACTGCGAAGACCACCCCGAGGAATTCCCTCATGCCAACATCGACCTCGTGCTTCGTCATGTCGTGAGCCAGCTTGTGACACAGTCCACGTCCCTCCGGCATGTCTTTCGCGCACAGGCGTCACTAGAGGATGGCAAGAATCTGCGACAGGTGACACCGCAGGCGTTCGACCACGTGCTCCGTCATCGCATCCACTTGCAGCTACATCCGCACGAAGAGCTGACGCTGCGGCGCCGATATGGACGTTCGACCTCGGAACAAGATCAGTTGGTGTGGTATGATGTCTTCTGCGACGCTGTATCGAGAACGTATGCGTGCGCCCATCGTCGCAGTTTGCCGGCAGCCGCGACGACATCACTGGACACACTGCGACAGGTACAAAGAACACGCATACATTGGCCGATCGAAAAAACCTTGTCGCATGTGTACCAACCCCATAAGGGGGGAATACGATAGATTCTAGCGTTCTAACTTGTAGTAACCTCATATATAGCTCCATGTCAACTTGCGAGGAGCCATGTTACGCGTGGACACGGGCACCAACAACGGCATCGTGCCGCGGTCGTTGCTTGAGAAGCTGTTGGGGTTTTACCAAGTGCATCTGCCAGCTCAATTGCTCGATCGCTTCGAAGTGTCGGCGGAAGCACAAGTAGATTACCATCGCTTCTTTGATGCAGTATACCCCTGCGATTTGTTTCAAGAGGACGAACGCTCCAAAGGCGTCGTACCTGCTGACGTCGACGCGTCATCGTCTAGGAGGCCAGTGGTTCCAATGCCTGTGCCAGACGAAGGCCCGCTGTACGCTCCCACCCCCCGGACGAATCTAGACACGGAGCGATTTGGCGTGCTCGGTCCTCTAGAACAGGGTCGGGGAGGGGCGGAGGCGGCCACTCAAATTGCTCTGCAACGACCGCAGCAACGCCTGCCAATGCACGACGACGACGACGACGTACACAGCGTCACATCGTCGCTGGCGTCGTCGGCTCCGTTTTCGACGGTAGACTTGAGCCAAAGGGCGTCGTTGTCGGCCAAGGGGGACGCGACCACTAGACCCCCGTCGACTGACGACATGCAAGTGCCACCGCCGCCGCCACCCATTTCTGCGACGCCGTTGGACCAATCATACCTGCTACCCCTGTCTCGGTTTCAAACGACCAATCAGCGCGTGCAACAAGAGTCGGCGCGGACAGCGCGGGCGCTGCAGCAACAACGCGACGACAGCGGCGCTGTAACTCTAGCCGATCCAACGATATACAGCCGGCGTCGCCATCCTGCTACTCCTACTAACGTTACTGGCAGCACGCCCATCCAACTAACCAAAGATCAAAAGGCCGCGCTGTATAAAACCACAAGCCAGCGCATGCTCCGCGGTGAACGCACGGCGGCACTCACGTCGCAGCGCGCGGCCGACGTGATCTCCCGCGCCCGAGCCAAGCTGGTCACGGAAACGAAACGCAATCCGCTGGTGCCACTCACGGTCACAGACGTGGATGCCGTCGATCCATCGTCCAAGGCGTTGTTTGCAAATCTGTTTGCCCCGCATAAGTACGAGCTCCGTAAAGCCCTGCGACAACACGATCACGACAAGTGCGGCTTTGTCGGTAATACTAGTGTACATATAGAGAGAGTGTATGTATGCTAGATGGAGAATGATGGTCTGTGTTAGGCGAAGACGAGTTTATGGACGCGCTGGCAAGTGTTCATCCAGACATGACGGATGAAGATCGATACCGCCTCGCCGATGCGTTCTTCCCGTCCGTGGATGCCCAACTCAACTACAAGCATCTGCTCGATGTAGCGTTGGTGATGCTCCCGCCTGCACCTCATGCCTCGATAAGCACTAAACTAGGCCACGCCGTGCCGTAATAGAATCAAAAGCGTACAATCTATTATGAGTAGACGCGATCAACGATGCATCAAGTGGCACCCCATATCACACTGATGCTACTGACAGATGACGTTATGCTTGGTCGCCGAGTAGTACTTGGGGTGGTACGACGACCCAGTCTGGCGCGGCCACTTGAAACGTTTCCCCGAGGAGCTAACGTCAGTAGGTAGGTAGATAGACCCCGTAAATAGTTAGTAGAGTATTACTAGGACGATAGTACCTCGTAGCGCCACGCATGTAGCCAGATGCGGGCGCAGTGCTTGTGGTTCTCGTTCTCGGGGCGTCGAGCACACCATTGACAGGTGCGCGTGAGGAAATCGGCTTCCGATTCGTGCGGTAGCTGGGGCACCGTCGATGCTAACGAGGTCTCGACGGCGTCCTTGCTGGATGGACTCCCATCCAGTACGTCTTCATTTTCAACAAACGATGAGCCAAAGTGCAAAGTGCCGCCATAACAAGGATCGTTGGCTATCGGCAGTCCCAGCAGCTGCAAATGCAGTCGAATTTGGTGCGTTCGACCTGTCACTGGCTACATACATGTAAACATGTGATAACGTCATATAGTAAAGGCTAGGCGATGTAATTACTGGTCGCACCTTGACCAGCACCACAGTGGTGTCGTCGTCGTCGTCGTGGCCGATTTCCCCATCGTGTGGACGACTAGATGGGGGAGGATTCGAATGAAATTGCACCAACGTTTCAGCTTCCTTGACGTCCGACGCTCCATCAAGTGCCCACGTCCACACTCCATCTTTATGGGACTTGCACACGAGCGGACACTGAACTCGTAACCACTTGCCGTCAATCGTAACACGAGCCCGGGGAGTTGGCAGGTGCAACTTGCTTAGCCACTCGGCCGACAAGTTCTGGGGAAACGAGCCACGAACGCGGGCCAAGTACGTTTTGGACGCTGTGCGGTCGGCTATGTGGTCGTTAAAGGGAGGGAGAGAGACTACGATGTACGCACCGATGCTGGCAGACAAGGCGCGGGCTTTGGAAGGCGTTTTGGCGAGAATGACCACGCCTACAGAAAGAACCAACTGTGAGAGGCATAACGATGATGATGATGATGGCACCAGAAGTCAAGCGGTCTAGCCGATGCACAACGTGCAGCTTTGGGATATCGGGACGCATGTGCAGCAAGATAAAGTGCTAACAAGGCCATGTTAATATGGTCATTGGGTATGTAAAGGTGCGATGGTGGACGTACGAGCGAATTGAAGCGGTACGCGCCGCACGGATGCGTGGGCACGCCCGCTGGTTTGCTGACCACCAACTGCAAAGTAACGTGAGAATCAACGAGATGACGCCTCGATGAGCAAAATGAAGTACCAAGTCTGGTGTTTCGTGCGCGATCTCAATGGTGTCGCCAGACACGGGCGGCTCGTGGCGATGGGTCTATCGGGAATGCATAAATGCTCACTTGAAAGAGGCGTGCCGTATGTATGCGTCTACTACCTTGTGGCAAAGCAAGTCTCCATTCTTTACGACGGTGGTCGGCGGCGTTAACTTGCCGTTCAGGGTAATGCGACCAGTGTCTATCGCCAGTGCCTACACATACATACACATGGTTGTTTGGTTGTTTGGCTTGGATGTGCGGTGCGTACATAGTACTCGGGAGAGAACGATCCGAATTCAGTCGTGAAGATCTCAAGCAGGGTTCGTCCAAACCATCGCTGCTTGGCATGGGTTTCAAATGCAAACACGTACGGCTTGACGTAGCGATACCCTGCTCAGCAGCCACGTCCAAAGAAGTCAGAGCTGACTCATAGAGACAGTAGGCACTACGCACCATCGCGAACTTCATATTCGGTCGCCAACACCTCGTTGGCATGCGACGCTACTTTGCGACGCTTGGCCTCCCGCGGCAAGACCTCCATGTTGCCATGGTTGCTGGACATGCTGGGATCAAAATTTGCAACGTTGATTGGCTGAACCATTTCCAAGTATCAACGTTTTGATTTGTTACCGTTACGAATTTTGTCCAATCAACAACGTGACAGTTTCCAGAGGTGTTGCGCCGCGGCTGTCGGATTTCATGTCATGCATGCCACCTGGATTGGCGCCGCAGGAGATG